CCTTTCCGAAAGGCGAGACCAGCTGTTGCAGCTTCGACACTCGCTCTCCGATCTTGTCCTTCTTCTCCTGGACACCAATCTTGACCTGCTGAGTACAGACATCAATCTCATGGAAAGAGAAGAGGAGAAGAGAAGACCAACCTTGGGAGAGACGGCAGCTTTGAGCCTCTTTTCTCCACTCAAGTTGCCAAGAACAAAGCCATCGTGGCCTCGTCGTTTGTGATCGACCACTTCTGTCATCATCATCATCTTCTTCTTCCTCCTCCTCCTCTTCTATCTGCTCTTCTGGTTTGGAGAACACAGTCCAGTGTTAGTCATGTGTTAGACAGGACAAGTTTCAAAGTCAACGAGATCCATGAGAATGAACTCAAGCTTTGACAAAATGGTCTTGCTGCCTCCTCCAATTCTGTTGCACCTGTCTTCCTGTCTCTCTTCCTCAATTTGTTTATTTGGATCTGCCATTGATGCACTGAACCTTCTCCATTTCCCCACAGGTCTGAAAACTTAGGGAGGGCATAGACCAATAAGACAAGAGCCCATGTTGACTAAAGCTGTACCACCCTCTGTGCTCTACCATTCTAAGCCTCAACCTACTCAAGATTTGGCTCTTGGCACCTCAATTCTGCCACTTCTCCTCATCTGTTTTAATCTCATCTTCTCTGTTGTTGGAGTTCAAATCCATTAGCTAACCTTAAAAATCCATGACTGCAAGCAACAGGAATGGCATTTATGCTACTGTGGAAGTACTATGAAGTGGTCGACCAGTCACTGTCCTCACATCTCATCCTTCCCACCATGCTAACAGCTGACAACTATCTGTCCTAGTTATGAATCCCGAGGTCCACAACTGGTGGTGTGGTTGCTCCTAATCTCGCTCATCAAGTTGAAGGCTAATAGCTGCAAACAGCTGATGATGAGTTCTGGTTCAAGCTAAAGATCAAGAACAAGACTTACCAAGATCCCAGGAGAAGAGCTGTGTGAAAGCCCAACAAGAAGCAGCTGCAGGAAGAATCAGATCAGATTGAAGACATGGGAGCTCAACACCTTCTGCTGCTGCTTCTATCCATCCAAATCAACCTCGACAGTGAGAGGGAGGAGGAGTGGCAGATATATACAAACAAATTGCTTCATGGAATTCTGTGACAGCTAATATCCAACACAGAGGAGGGCCCTCAGGCTTGATGTCATCCTCTAGATTTGGTCTAACTCTTGCCTCTTCAGACTTTTGTCTCCCACTGGAAATTGATGACAAGGTTCCAAGGTTTTCTTTCAAACATCAAGTTGCAGGGTAGTCTGAGATTTCTGGAGAAGTTTGTCAGGGCTATTTATTGCAGCATCAAATTTGGTTTTTTTGCCTGAGCTTGGATTTCTATAGGTGTTTAACTCACAGTTTAAGGGCTAAACTCCTGTTGGTCTTGCTTGCCTGAGCAATTCATTTTGGATTGAGAGAAAATTTCTAGGTTTATGATGAACAATTAACTATTATGTAGTTAATATGAATGATCAAGATTTATTATGTTGATCTTGACGAAGAAAAATCATATCATTATACAAGAATAATATTCATAGTATAAGAAGATTATTTCTCTATTGATCTAACCAAACCTCTAGTTTAAATTCCATTGTTCAGTTTCTCTCATAAATTGTCCTATATTTACAATGCTGAAGCACAAGCATAGCTATCAAAGTTCTAATAGAAAATTAAAACCCAAGTTGACTATATTATAGTTTCTAATAGGAGTTAATACAAGTAACCTAAAAGTCAGCATTTTGACTATTTCATGCCAATGTTTAAATTCCCAAATATAATTAAGAATATAAATCATCATATTTCATCTACTGACTTAGTCCTCAGATAATGACAATAGTATTCAAAATATTAAGATGGTATCATATCTAAAAGCCTTGTAGTTAGATTGCAACTACTTTGTAGTAGTTGCTAAACCTCATCTTAATAGATTTGGTTGATTTAATTTATAATCTCTTGAGTTTGACTACATGAAGTAGCAAAAAATATTAGTAGGTATCAAAAAATTAAGAAAATATGATGCAAATAATTTTCTATGAATTGGAACATTCAAAGTATAAAAACTTGTATCATAAATTTGTGCCAGTGACAGGGGCACAAAATCCTCACAAGCATATTTCAACTATTGCTTGATCTCTTCAACTCTGTTTGGAAGACAATTCCTGTTGGTATTGGACCATCTTCTATCACAATGATATAATAAATTTGCTAATCTGAGAGAAAATATTGAGGAGAAAACCTACATGAAATTTTGAGTTATTGTATCTCTCTTCCAATCATGATAACTTCTTCATAATCCAAGCAATGCAATTAGAGAATGAGTTATGATATAATAGTAAGATTATTCCTCTGTGATATGAGTAATTGGGGTTTGAGTAACTCTATTTATTCTAAGAAAAAGTACTCTCCCTTCTGAGACACACTCTGTTTTCCCATTGATTGAAGCTACATGATGATGCACTCATGAGTCTAGAATATGCACCAAATATGTTGAAATAATGCTTTGAATAAGCCACCACACCCTCACCATAAAGCTTTGTTTAATATAAGCTGGCATACAGATCTACTAGTGGGTGATGTATCATTAATAATTATTCTGTGCATGGACAAGATAGATTCTCCTGCATTTTAATACTGATTGCTGATCTCTGCAAAAGGCTCTGATGAACGCAATTTTATTGCCCAGTTGAAGATGAAACAAAACATTTCACTGTCAAGATGACCACTGATGGGACCTTTTTCCTCTCACAAACTCAAATTTATTTGTTAGGCCTTGATTGCAGTTTTTTCAGATATTTGGAATAGAAAAATATGCAGGTTCTTTTGAGCTCTGATTGAGATATTTGTGAGAGAATGACAACCAGTAGAAAGAAGGAAAAAAAAGGAAGCTTCTTCTCTTCTTCCTCCTGTCCTATCCAACCATTGTTAGATTGTCTGGCATTTGGCCAACCAGTATCTGATCTTTTGACAGTCTGATGGCTCTCTGTTCTACCTTCTAAACACAACAAAATGTCAACCTTCCAATCCTCTGTTCTACCTTCATCCTGTTATGATGTCCAATTTGTCAAGCAACACTAAAAGTTTGGCAGTATCTTGGAAGGTGACAAGACCATGTTACATGCTTACCTTATGTTTCTTCAGTATTGTATTGATCATCGAGAAAGCTTTATCTGATATGGTGCATGATCCATTGGGGTGAAGGAATTAGCTGTCACTGTGTGTAATTGCAGATCATCGACTTCCTTGAATACCTCTGTAGATGGCTACTTCTCCACAAATCTCTTCCAACCTTGACTTGGTTGTAACCAAGTATACTTATCATCACATTGCCAAACATGCAGCTAACTGAACCTAATCCATTCACAAAATAATATGAACTGATCATGTTCTTTTTCAGCAAATGTAAGTTCTTAGGGTAGGGGTCTAACAGCAAAAGTGGAGAACCTGAACCAGAGAACTCACATCCTTGGTTGCCATACACTACTGTCAACATAAAGGCAACTTGAACTCGACTCTCTTCTTGCCAGAATTAAGGTCTGTTGTTGCCATGAAAATAGCACCAATCAATCAATGTTGGAGATGTGAGTGGTGTACTCCCTGGAGAAGAAGGCAACAGGACATGGGACCTATCACCTCTGCGAGATTGTCCTGGTTGCAGTGCTGTTTGGTAGCTGGTCAGAGATCAATTTCACGGACATATGACTGCCATTTAATGAGCTGGATTCAGCAGTAAACTTTACATTGGCTTGAGCTGAAGACCCCCCAATAGCCCTGACCAAAGGAAGGAGGCATGTGATCTTTTGTTGCCAGGGTTGTGAGAGGCTAATTATCAATTATCGATATCTTAGTTTTTAATTTAAAGAAATTGAAAGTGAATATCTAACCCCACATCTTTCATTTCATGAAAATATAAAAATAATAGATAAAATGATAATTTCAATATTTCGGTTGATGATGATGGATGACGATGTCGTCGGAGGTCGTAGGTCACTGTTGTGGATGAGAAAATAGAATGATGATGAGAAATAAGGATCACTTGACATCTACATCGACGTCAACGTAGTTATCGAGCAACCCTTTCATCACTTGATAATTGCGTTAATGTTGATGCAGATGCTAAGTAATCCTATCATGGCTCAATAACTGCATTGGTGTCAATGTAGATGTAAAATAATTCTCACATTTCGTTATCGTTCTCCCTCCTCATTTACAATAGCCACCTATAACTCTCAATAACACCGTCGTTCGCTATCACCGACGTCGTCAGTCATCACCAATTAAAATATTAAAATTATATTTTTGTTTATTACTTTCGTACTTTCATCAATAAAACCAATGATGTTACGGTAAATAGAATTAATTATTTTACTTTTATAATTATGAAGATTTTAATATAAATTTTTTAAGTTTAAAGATCAATACGCTAAAGAAATCTAATATAAATCTAATTACATTGAGTAACCTATAATTAGCTCATTGTGAGCAAGAATAAGATCGAGTTCTATTTAAGGAAGCTTATCTTTCCATTGCTCGAATGACATTGATGCCCGTAAACCACTAATAGGTGGTACTCTTGTAACTCAAAACATTCTCCTCACACTTGCCCTATTTGCATGATGAATATTGAGGAATCAGTCTAAACCTTCGACAGCTACATATATGTATACATATATTATAAATATTCTTATAACGTCAATTGGCTATTATTTGTTAATTGAAACTCGAATTGAGATTGATATCATTTAAAAATTAATTACTTAAAAATTATATTGGGGAGTATGTAAAATAATTCGTTTATTGAAGTTAATTACTTGAGGCTTACGAGAGGATTTGGCTCGGCCGACGCTGTGTATTCTAACTCGGGTTCAGCGAGCGCCTCGAAATTTGTGATCGAACCGGATTGGTTCGGAAAAATCGACCGAGCCGAACCAGCAATCACATAAGTGCCCGTCCCGGTCGATTACTTGATTTCGGCGCGAGCTATCGAAGGGTTTCGTCGTTCCTTTCCACGCCGGGCGCGACGACACGGGATCGTCGAGCGACGGCCGGAGGTGAAAGAGGCCTGGAGATCTGCGCACTGACGGCTACGATCGGTATGTGAATGATTTCCCCTTTTTCTTTATCTTCCTTGTGAGGGTTTATGTTGTTCGATGGTTGCTGGCGAGGACTTGCTAGCTAGAATCAGTTACTTTTCGAGGAAGAGCTGTAATCACGGATGATTTTTTTTTTCTCCGTTGACATAAATCAAATTATTACTTTATTTAAATTATTAACTTCCTTGTTTGTATAATATGGTTAAAGAAATGATTAAAATTTATTTCCTTAATCACGTGGAAGAATTTTTTTTCAATTAATTAAATTATCAATTGATTTATTTCTTAATGAGTGACGTAATTTTTAGAAAGTAAATAGTTCAAATTTTATTTTTGTGTGAACCATAAGAAATAAACATTATAATTCCATCTTTGTGTATGAAAGCAAAATAAAAATAAAAATAAAATATTTCTTGTCTTTGGTGGAGAGCTAATCTTCTCCTATATAAAGAGGCTCTCCCTCCCTTATTCCTCATGCTCGAGAGGACTCTCCAAGGTGAGGATCTTCGAGGAAGGGTAGGATGCTCTATTTTTTTCTTATTAGATTTTATTTATATTTTAAAATATTTGATATTAGAATTGTTATAATTTATATGATACCTAATAATATTTTAATTTTAAAATTTTATGATTAATAAATAATGATAATTAAATTGTGATGTTAGAATGATTAGTTAATTTAATAATAGTTCTAAGACATTTATTTAGATGTATTTATGTTTCAAGGAATTATGTGTGAATTTCTATGATTTAATTAGTTTAAATTTTGAATCATGAATTTTAATTAGTTAATTAATGAAAAAGAATAAATTTGAGGTTATATGTTATTTTGTAATATATTAAAGTACTTCTGAAAATATTAAAATCTAATTTAATAAGAAGGATAAAATTAGGGTCTAACCTTAGTTTAGTTAATTGGCCAGACCAACCCATGTGGCTAGATATAACCTAACACATGTGGTCAGGCATAATCTAACCCATGTGGCTATGTATGGTCCAACCCATGTTGTTAAACATGACTAAGTACAGCTCAGCTAATGTGGCCAAGCATGATCTAGCCCATGTGTCTAGGTATATTTCAGCCCATGTTGTTAGGCATGGCTCAACCTTTGTGGGCTAGACATGACTCAACCCATGTAGGCTAAGCATGACTTAGCCCATGTGACGAGGTACGATGCAACCCATATAGCCAAGTATGACTTAACTCATGTGACTGAGCACGGTCAAGCTCATATAACCAGGCACGACCCAACCCATGTGGCTATGCATGACCCAACCTGCGAGCCAAGCGTGGCCCAGTTTAGTGGTAAGGCTTAGTCCAACTCGTGAGTAAGGCTCAACTCAGCTTGTAAAGTTAAGCCTGCTTAGTTATACGATTGTCGCTAGATACATTGTCGCCTCTCTTTCCAGCCCATTGTACCTCTACCTAGCCTGCTACTTGGGACAGGCATGTACGGTGCGCGTGACCCGTTCAAGGCTCAAGTGGGTCGGTTCGGTTTGGGCTAGCATAATGCAACATAGTCCAATTTCCTTTCTCTATATTAGTTTGTGCTCATTAGTTGACTGAATCAAACAGGTTTGATCGATTCAGGGTGATCCCACACCAACTCGACCGATTCAAGCCTACTTGATCTAATTGAAATCAATCAAATCTAAATTAGACCAGTCTAGAGTGATTCCAGACCGATTCTATAAAGATTTGAGGTTGGTTCTGTTAGGTCCTAATTGAATTGAGTTTGGTTTAAGTCAAGTCAATTAGGCTATTCCAATTAGGGTTTTGGTTGATTGAGGATTATTAAGATATTAATGCCTCTTATCTTTATGATTTGATTAACTTAAAAGTTTTATCAGAAAGAGTCATTTGGAAATGATTATTAATTTTTTCTTATTTTTTAGATTAAATTGATGTGATGTTTACCATGTAATATATGTGACTATACCGAGTCATCCACATTGAAAGTGCAACCTATGAAAGGAGATACGGGTCCATCACAGTGTGGGGCTACCAATGGACATAGTTTAGCAAATCATACATCAAGTTTGGTCTCTCATAATATTTTATCATATTACTTTTTGGATGCATGCATGGATGAATGGATTAGTGTAAATGAATGAACATGATTGTTTATATATCCTCGTTGAGAGCAAGTAGGGCAATTCCCTTCCGGGATTAACGGGCCATCAGACGTAATGATTAGATAGTTTCTCTATTCGTTGTTGGGAGCAATGTGTCTCCACATGAGCGGGTGAGGGATACCACTTCATCCGCTATTGGAAGTGCGATATGGGTTTTCTTCAGTCGCTATTGGGAGGAATCCATCCCATAAAGTATGCCTCTCCATTCGTTGTTGGAAAGGTGCACCATTAGTGTGATGTGTGCCTTTGTTATTTGATTGTTATGAATGTCATCGAGATGTGTTGCATGTGACTAATGCATGATTTTGTTTATTGCATAAGAATTATCATTGTTTTTCTGAGATATGAGTTTTATAATGAATTGATATGTTATCATTTCATATTAAATTGTTGACATTTGTATATATTGCACGAATGTATTTATTATTTTTATGATTTTTTAGAGGTTCTTATCAGTATGTGTGGTTGTTGATGTATTTTTATCCTATATTTATTTTCAGAGTAACTTACTACTTTGTAATAGATCTAGGGCTTCGGTGGAGAAGACTTTTTCATCACTTGTGGCCCTACTAAGAAGATGTGATGTTTTTGCACTTAAAAAATATTTAGTGTTGTAGAGACAAGGATTTGAATTCAAAGATATAAAAAAGTCTTCTATAAATTATGAATAATAAAATGATGGGTTTTTTTATTTGGGATGTAACAAGAGCTGTGTTTGGGATGCAAACAGATCTAATCTATTCATATTGGTGCATGCCTATGTTGTTGTCTTCATGCCTATGTTGTTGTCTTCATAGATTACTTCACCAATCAAGATCATGCATTGGATGGTCCATGTTTAGTGTTTATTGGATTAGTCAATTGTGTAGTAAACAGTGAAATAATCATCAACATGTTTCAATGGTCTAATTTCATAATCGTGTTCATGTTTCATTTCTCGCAGATGATTCTTGATGGTTATTTTAAATCTTAAATATAAATTATCTAAATGATGTAGACTACTTTCCGTGTTATTGGCACAGGACATGCTAGGAAAAGTTAATGCTTGTCAGCAACAGTAAAATGTGCTGGAATACAACTCTTAACCATCCTATACATGTCTCTTTATAATGTTTTGTAAACTGTAAACATGTGTAAAAGATGTAGACTCATGGTTGTAAGTGGCATATACCAAGATGTTTATTGTGTGTTTGTGGGAGATGTTGCAGTAAAATGGAGACAGACAGCTTTTGTTATTCAAGACCATACATAGGGATAAAGTCATAATTTTGGCTAGAACTGACATTAGTCATGTTGGTGAAGCGTAATACATGTCTTAAGATTGATTTGTTTTCGATAAACTGTAAAAGTTCCAACCAGGGAACATGGTCTGGATTACAAGTTGGTCTTAAGATTGATATGTTTTGGATAAATTCGTAGGCTTCAACCCTGGCCACATGGCCTAATTACTTGTATTGTTAGTCAGATTGAAATAGGGATGTAATCTTACAGGAGGTTGTTAAATTGCAAGGAGAAATAAATAGGAAATAAGAAATCCCTACTTAAAAAGCCTAAATGTGGACATATCCAATAAGGATTTCTAAATCCATTTGATATCTTTATCACCAATGGAATTTGGTATTTTGTAGATTTTTCTGTATATGTTTGGTAGCTTGTCATCAAATCATTATGGTCTCATAACTTTATGCAGAATAGGTACTGCTTTTCTGATCAAGTTTGCAAGATACCAGAACTGCTTAAAGCTGAAGACTGACTTCTTTTTAAAACCCTTTGAAGTTTACACTAGAATAAGGGTCCAATGTCTTCTCTTGTTCAATCACCAACATTGGAGATACTAGGTACACTTTTGTAGCTTTTGTATAATTTTCTCCTATGCTTGTGTTACTAATTCTTTGTCCATGTTATTCTTTTTATTACTTAAGCACGAGAACCAGAAGTGTTCTCCATCTGGAAAGGACCTCCATTCAGCAATGGCCAGCCGCTTGTCAAACTTGAGAAAGTTCCTTGTACCGTTGCAAGATTCAGTGAAAATGGATCTAGGCTTATGGTGACCAAAAGCAATACTGTCATCAGTGTTCAAGATTGTTGCAGCTCCACTGAGATCAGATCCTTTGACATACCCTCCCTTCTTGCTGCCACTTTGTCTCCATGTGGGACCTATCTCCAAACATTCCATAAAGCCACTACACCACAGGATAAAAATGTTGTGCTGTGGGAAGTACAGACTGGTGCAGCTGTTTATCAGCATTTCCAGAAAAATATGTCTAAGACCACATGGTTTGCATTTGTGACTTTTCCCCCTCTGTATAGGGTGTAATACGTGAAATGCTGCTTATTTAATGTTGGTTAAATTCTCAGGCCATCGATTATATTCACCTCCGATGAATCTGTTGCCTGTCGAATGGCAACAAATGAGATACAGTTTTTTGACTCGAAGGATTTCTCTAAAGGAATTATTCATAGATTAAGACTACCTGGTATTGCTGCAATTGAGCTGTCAAAGGCTCCTGGGCATTACATTGCAGCATTTGTACCGGAATCAAAGGTTCTTAATCCTAATCTATCTAGTAAAATATTTTGGCAAAAAGTTCATTCTGAAAACATTTGTCTTCTTGCTCAGGGTATTCCTGCCAGTGTTCAGATCTTTTCTTGTAGTAAGGATGCGCAAACTCAGCCAATTGCGAGGCGGAGTTTCTTTCGTTGTTCCACAGTGGCATTGCATTGGAACAAGATTTCATCTGGAGTTCTAGTAGTTGCTCAATCTGATGTTGATAAAAGCAACCAGAGTTACTATGGTGAATCAAAATTGAACTATTTAACAACTGATGGAAGTCACGAGGGACTTGTTCCTCTTCGTAAGTCTTTATTGTTAAGTCTCTCATTCTTATAATCCCTGGTAATAGCAAAGTCAACTGGCTTGATTGCTGCAAGAAAATGACAGGAAAAGAGGGACCCGTGCATGATGTTCAGTGGTCTTATTCAGGCTTAGAGTTTGCTGTTGTTTATGGATGTATCCTTCTTGTCTTTCTTGTTTTCCTACTTCTTTCTGCATTTCAATTGTTGATGGCTTGTCTAGCTTCTGTTTGATCCTTCACTTGTCTCAGTCATGCCTGCAAGAGCAACAATATTTGACAGGAAATGCAATCCACTACTCGAGCTTGGTCAAGGTTCTTACAACACAATTAGATTCAACCCAAAAGGAAGACGTATCCTTCAGTTATTAATCTGGTAACTTGTTAATGTTGATACAAGGCGCTCTGTATGTATTATTTACTGGGCAGTTCACTAAGTGAGATGCCTTGTGCATCAGCTCATTCTTGTTTCCTTAACTTCTTTTTTGTTTCAGTTATATGTTTGGCTGGCTTTGGCAATTTGCCTGGTGACATGGTATGTTTTAGGGATGGTAAATGCATTTATTCTGTTTGTTTGTTTCATGACACTAGTTAATTGCTCTTTCATTTTCAATTTATGTTCATCATGGTATGCTTGATCCATAGCCACCCCAAAACGTTTAGGCTTGTAAGTTATGCTTGATTACTTCATTCACAAAGTGTTGTTTTCCCTCGGTAACTTTCTTTCAGCAGTTTTGTCCTCCCTTTATGGAATTCACAATAGTTCCACCCTTTATTGTTTTGAAATGTCTGATATGTAGCATATAAATTTTAACTTAGCATTTACGTATGTGACGGATGCTGCTTGGACCAGCGGGAGTCTTCACCTAATAGTCCTTTAATAAGGCATATATCTGCGTTGATGTAAGGTGTTGCTACAATGGATTCTCAGAAGTCATCCTCAACCTGGCATAAGTATCCCATGTCGAGAAATAAATCTAATTGTCAGATGGTGGCAATAATCCCTGCTAGTGCCTTGAGTGAAAATGCCTTCATCGGACCACAGAATAATTACTGGAATAGTTGAAATTGCTTTCCTGCTTGGAAGATTCATCATGTATACAAAATGAAACTATATAATAGAAGGAAAAAAAGCAAGGAGGGCTGGAAAAGTGTGATGACATCAGCAAATTCCTTCTGCTTGTGGGAAATCGATGGCCACACTTCTGAGGCATTTGAAGAGTTGGATGAGATTTTTTTGGCATTTTCTGTTCCACTGTCATGTTTTCTCATTTTACCATGATTGTTGGGTCCATGTCTCTAGCTGAAGTATTAGGAATTAGAACTACAAGATGCTACTTCAATTTGAGAAGAGAAGCTTCCAGAAAGAGATTTAGGGAAATATAGGGCAAGAAAGAGGCGGAGCAAAAGTTATTGTTGCATTAGAATGAAAACATAGTCCAACAAGCTACCACGGAGGCTCAAAATGTCCTCTCTATTGTTTATGATCAAAACCCTAAACAGTATTTAATAAATAATAAAAGAGTAACCTACCTTTAGGAATGCTGCTCTACTGGCCCTTTGTTGGTTTGACCATGGTTTCTCCATATGGGATTTCTCCTTCTGTCAGTTCCCTATCTGATCTGAGTAAAGGGTGTTTTTGAACCATTTCCTTTGGTCAGGAAGTGACTCTTTATATTACCTAGATGCTGATCGTTGGGGCTATCCTAGCCCTTCTGGACCAGTTCATTTGGCCCATCCTATATACCCATGCGAGCTTAGCTGGTTGGTGACAGATGATGTAATCCAGCTGTGCATCGCAACACTGATATGATCTCATTGATGCTGAATTATAATTGAGGATTAGATAGCAATCGTGATTATTATTGTGACGAGGCTATTGAGGATTGTAGTTAACAGAAACTTGTAGGTTAGAATCTTATAGTTATGACATGTAAACAGTCGAGAAATGTTGAAATTTAATAAATGAGGATTAAGAGAATTAGTTGAGAGATTGGGTGGATTCTAAGTTCCTATTTATGGAATCAAACACTTCATCCTAAAAATACTGCCGACTCAGCTTTCCAAAGCAAACACTTCATCCTAGACTACAGAGAAGCTTTCCCTGCTCATAGCCGCTTCACCTTACGAGGTTAACACAGTTCTTATCAAGGTATGCAATTTCAAATAATATCGTCGGGTACGGGCGGTACGTACCGGTCCATCAGCTTACTGGTATATGGACCACTCG